TGTGAAAGAAAGAAGCCTTCCCTGCCTGGCCCCTTGACACCTGTGGCATGCTGGAGAACACATTTTAGGGGCAAGAGAGCAGCAGAGCTGGCCCTGCAGTTCACTAACTGCAGCACTCAGGAGAGTGATCCCTGAACCTGCCTGAGCAAAACAGTAGAGCTGGCCCTGGCCCTATGGGTGCAGGTGAGCTGACCCTGAGGGCGTGAGAGCAGGAGAACTGGCCTGCTGCAGTGAGTGACCTGTCCTGTGTAACCCTGGAGAGCTTGCTCGGATGGTGTTGATGAGGGAAAACTGGCAAGCTGACCCACCCAGCTATCACCTACCTAGGCTCAGAACCAGGGCTATGAGTTGGCACACCCCAATATCTACCTCATTTATGATCTGCTGGAGTACATGAAGGGGCTGGACTTGCAGATCCAAAGCTTCAGATCTCTGTGACACATGGCAACACCACGATATCCAAGAGGAGTCCCAGTTAGGGCCCAGTATCGAGGGTTAGCAGAAGCTCGAGGTCTCGAACCAGACTAGACTTACAAGTAAATATATACAGAATAAAGAATAAACCACAGTTTTCATGCCAAGACTTTTTGTTGCTCTCTCTCTCTGTCTCTCTCTCTCTCTCTCTGTATGTTAGTTTTTGTTTTTCGGTTATTTGTTATTTTTGAGATTTATTTATTTATTTATTACATATATAGTATCTGCCTCCATGTATGCCTGCACCACAGAAGAGGTGCAGGCATACACCTCTTATATAGATTATTATATAATTATAGATGGTTGTGAGACACCATGGAAATTGAACTCAGGACCTCTGGAAGAGCAGTCAGTGCATTTAACCTCTGAGCCATCTCCCCAGCCCTAGGCTATCCTCTTTAGCTAACAAGTTAATCTGGATCACAATCCAGAATGTTTCAATTATTTAGAGAACTGGGGTTCTGGCAGGTTAATGGCTTGGTTATTGGCATTAAATTCTGTGAAACTTGACATGTAAAGGATGTAAAGTTGATATAGCAAAAGAAATATCTTCAGTAGAATGGATAGAGAGAATGTGGTACATTTACACAATGGAGTACTACTCAGCAGAAAAAAACAATGGAATCTTGAAATTTGGATGGAACTAGAAGAAACCATTCTGAGTGAGGTAACCCAATCACAAAAAGACAAACATGCTATGTCCTCACTCATATGTGGATTTTAGACATATAGTAAAGGATTACCAGCCTACAGCCACACTGCCAGAGAAGCTAGTAAACAAGGAGGACCCTAAGAGAGGCATACATGGTCCCCTGGAGAAGGGGAAAGGGACAAGATCTCCTGAGCAAATTGGGAGCATGGGAGGAGGGGGGAGGGAGCTAGGAGAATGAGAAGGGGAGAAGAGGGGTGAGGAGGACATGAGGGAGCAGAAAGGTTGAGTCGGGGGAAGAATAGAAGAAAACAAGAAAGGAGATACCATAATAGAGGGAGACATTTTGGGTTTATAGAGAGATCAGGCACTAGGGAAATGCCAGATCTACAAAGATGACACCAGCTAACAGTCTAGTCAGCAGAGGAGAGGCTACCTTAAATGCCCTTCTCTGATAACAAGATTGATGACTGACTTATATGCCATCCTATAGCCTTCATCCAGCAGCTGGTGGAAGTAGAAGCAGACACCCACAACTAATCACTGAACTGAACTGAAATCCAGTTGCAGAGAGGAACAAGTGATAAGCAAAGGGGTCCAGACCAGGTTGGTGAAACCCACAGAAACAGCTGTCATGAACAACGGGGAGCTCTTGGCCCCCAGACTGATAGCTGGGATACCAGCATGGGACTGATCCAGACCCCAGGAATGGGTTTCAGTGAGAAGACCTGGGAAATCTACAGGACCTCCTGTAGTAGTTCAGTACTTATCCCTAGCATAGGTGTGGACTTTGGGAGCCCATTCCACACAGAGGGATAGTCCCTGAGCCAAGACACATAGGGGTGGGCTAAGGCCCTATCCCAAAGGATATGATAGATTCTGATGACCCCCTATGGAAGGCCTCTCCCTCCGTGGGGAGCAGAAAGGATATGTGATAGCTAGGGTATTAGTTGGGGGGGGGTTAGGGAAGGAGGGGAGGGAGTGGGAACTGGGATTGACATGTAAAACAGTCTTGTTTCTAATTCAAATAAAAAATAAAGTATAAAAAAGAAATACCTTCAGTTGTTGAATCTTGACAAGCCTATGTGATTTTACATAGAGTATAGGACCTTCTTTTAGACTTTTTAATGATTTTTTGTGGATTTCACATCCTGCGTCCCAATCCCATTCATCTTCCTATCATTTCATAGCTGTCCTCTGTCCTTGCAACCACCCCCCCAATTCAATTAAATTAAAAATAAACAATTAACCGGGCTGGAGAGATAGCTCAGAGAGATAGCTGGAGACTGCTCTACCTGAGGTACCGAGTGCAATTCCCAGGACCACATGGTGGCTCACAGCCATCTATAATGAGATCTGATTCCCTCTTCTGGCCTGCAAGCAAACATACAGACAGAACACTGTATACACACATAATAAATATTTTTATTTTTTTAAAGAAGACTGCCTAGCCTAAAGACGTACACTGACCCTGACCTGCAGAGGGTTAACTTAAATTTTTTAGAGACATGGGCATTTGGGATAATAGCTGAAATTGTTTTCAAATTCCATGAAAGTTTGAGATCATTTTGGAAGTCATCATCATCATACATTGGCTGTAAGCATAATATGTTTGTGAGAGAAACAAGGGTGTTTATCACTCAGGGAATACCAGGTTAACACAGACACCCTTATGGTGACTAATTGTTTCCTTGATGTTTCCAATGTTGGTGGTGGGTACATGCAATTGAGTGTACACTTCATCTGAAGATCACCAGTGAAAACCAATTTTACAAAGATAAGCGCTAGCAACTTATCTCAACCATTATTTCCTCAGAGAGAAATGTGAGCCCTACCCACTGGAAAAGCAGAAGAATTTTGTTTCACACTTCAGAAATGACATTGAACTAGTCTTCCAGCAAACTTTTTTTTTTTTTAGTTATAACAAAGACAGCAGGAAGGAAAACCTGCAAAAGTAATAAACATACATGATGGATTAATTTTTAAAAAGTTATCTCCCAGCAACCTCCACCACTATCCTTCACTGTGCTTGCTTCTGGAAAAGTTTTCTGATACATGTAAGCTTGGTCATCTCCTCTCTGGAAACTGACACTAAGGAATTAAAGCTCAGCCCATTTAATTTGCGTTAAGCATCAGCACTTAACATTTCTGTGAACAGAGCACTATTTACTCACACTAGAATGACCTGGTGCATTCACTTCTACTATGCTACTTCAAGTGCTAGTTTCAACAAGAGTTAAATCCAAAATGCCTAGTGTAGAGTCCCTCAGGAAGACAAGTGATGACGGAGTTCGATGTATGTTGATGTTTCGAAAGACAGACAGAATGCAAAATTTTAGATGCTGTGAGTGAGAGACCATACAGTTTTCATACTTATGAAGCCGTTGTGGGATTTTTGGATTCCTTACTCAGGAATAGCACAGTCTTGGCACAGTGGCATCATGGCTCACAACAAAGGGGCTCACAGTAGGAAAACACATAGAAATGATGCCCGTGATGTTCATCAGCCACCAGCCAGGATTATGTATGAGAGCAACACAACCTTGTAAGATGGAGGAGAGGGCATAAAAACCCAGAAAAGTGAGCACCAGGACCAGGATGCTCTGGGTGGCTCTGGACTCAGGGGACGTTCTGGAGGAAACACTGGTGCTCCGGATGTGTTGAACCTGTTGCTTGTGCCTGTACAGAATGACAACCATGGAGCTGCTGGACCAGATAATGAGGACAGAAAGCAAAGTTTCAGGGAGAACAAAAAACGCTATGTATAATGAGCTTGTGAGGCCATCATGACCTGCAGTGGAGCAGTATTTCATATCACTCTTACATGTGAGGTTATTGCTGTGCCCCTTGGAGGACATATACACAGGGAAAATCATATTTACTGACATGTAGAGCATCCAGCAGAGGGAAGTGAAGAGGCCAATGTGCTTTGGAGCCTTGAATTTAAGACAGTTCCAACAGGAGTCACTCGGGCTGATGGTGATGGCTTGGAAAACACTCAAGAGACAGGTGGTGCCAATGGACATGCTCCTGCCAAGTCTTTGAATATACAAGAGAAGTTTGCAGCCAAAATCGCTGAAGAACCCTTTCATCCCCAAAGCCCTTACTGTCTCTAGAATTCCTTTAGAAAGAATAATCAAGGAATTGGCCATGAGCAGGTGTGTCAGAATCAAGTCTGTGGTCTTTAATGTCTGTTCAACATAGTAACGGATGAAGTAGCAGGAAAGGAGAGATAAATTTACCACAATTCCAACTGTGCTCTGAAGCAAGAACACTGTTCCTACTGCCAAATCCTGGAGGTCCATTCTGTCATTTAGCACTTTTCCACCTAAATTATGGCAAACAATAAATTCTCTGATCAAAACGGTGACTTGAACTTTTGTAGCTTTTTGTTGTTGTCGTTGGTGGTGGTATAAAAGAATTACACATGCTCAAGCTTGCAAGGCTATTGTGGGCAACGTAGCAAGTGCATTCCTCAGAAATATTTTGACAAAAATATCTTGTTACTGTTATTGCTGAAGTCTTTCAGAAACCTTCCTTAGACAAGTCAGAATTAAGAGTATGGCTGGTGGGGGTCTGACGTAGGTCCTCTGAAAACATGTCATGGTTGAGCAGTTTGGTGTTCTTGTGGGATTCCTAACAGTGGGATCAGGGGTGGTTGCTGACTTTAATGTCTACTATTGGAACCCCTTTTCTCCTGATGGTTTGCCTCTCCCATCCTTGATGTGATTGCATGTATCTGGTCTTATTGTAGTGTATTATGCCATATTGGGTTGATGTCCCTGGGAGGCCTGATCTTTTCTGAGGGGAGATGGAGGAGCCATGGTTCTGCAGGGGAGGGGAGATGGGGTGGGGAGTTTGGGAGGAGAGGGAGGGGAAAGTGCACTTAGGCTGTAAAATATGAGGGAATAATAATGATGAAGATGATGATGATGATGATGATGATAAATGCCAAGTGCCCTGGGAGAAGCAGTGACCAGTGAATAGAAATGAAAAGATTGTTCACGTCTTAATTCCATAATGTCCTGCTAATTACAAGTCACAGTGGGGATAAAGAGACTTTAATAAAAGCTCTTCAGCAGGAAAGAAAACCCTGAGTATCTCACCTGAAATTTAAACCTAAAAAAAAATGAAACTGTTTCCCCACAACAGTGACCACATTCCTCTTATTCTTACACAACGTAATGTTTATTATACAGTGAAAACAAACTGATCATATAGTCACTAATCACAAAGTGACACTTGAAATTTTACGCACAGAACTTGTTCTCATCAAATTTCATAGAAAGACACAGGTGTAGGCATGCACGCTTATTCATACGGAGAAGGAGCTGGGGGAGATGGACACTCACTCAGGAAGTATTCTGAGTGGAAAACTCTTACTAAACAGACAACAGAAGGTCAGTATGTGGATGATTTCAACACAAGTCCCCGAAAAATGAGCACTCTCAATAAGGAACAAACAAACGATGAATGTCCGATTTTCTGATGAGATCCACTGTCTTATGTCACAGTTCAGTAGCAGATATGTAAAGTAAAAACTGAAGAAAACATCAATCCTTTGTACGGATATAGACACAGCAAGCATCTCACACACACACACAGACATTGTGATCACACTGAAGGGAGCATTCTGGAATGTGAGAAAGTGCACAACAAAACACACACAAAAACACGTGTCAACCACCCCACACTTGTTCACAATTCACATACATGTAAATTACACCTCTTAACATTAGACATGCCCACGTGTCCTTTAAGAGTTTCCATACTCAGCTGATTTTCACACGGTGCTGTGCTCTGCAGCGATGTAATTGAAAGACCAAGATTTTCACACAAAACAAATGCAAAGAAAAAGTAAGATTTATACATTATGATTCCACTTGGGCAAACCATAGCACAGATGAACAGCTTTCCAGTCTCACAGGTTAACATACATCCGTACGTACACCCCCATACCCCCACCCCTCACCAAAACCCCAGCAGGACACAATTATCAGTGACACAATATAGGGTTGTATAAGGCTAATTCTTAATTTCATATTTCTATTTATTCGGTGAAGGATTTCACAAAGGGTCTCACTTTGTAATGTAAGTCTGACTGCTGACTGGATTTCTGGGATGGAGTCTTAGACAGTATATTGATTCTTAGATATTATACACATAATGCCTGGTACAATAATGTAGCCTAAAAAGTTATTACTAGGTTAGGGAAATGGCTCAGTTGGCAAAGTCCTTGCTTTGCATATGTGAGGGTTGTCTGTAGTGGCACATGTCTGTCATCCGAGTACTGGATTGGAGGTCTCAGCAAGATCCATGGGGCTCACTGACTAGCCAGCCTAGAATTAGAGCCTTTGTCTAAAAAAATAGTATATGAAAAACTGTCAATGTAAAAAGGTTCTGAAGAAGAACTAAGCTTGCTCTCTCTGTCTCTCTCTATCTGTCTCTGTCTGTCTGTCTGTCTCTCTCTCTCTCTCTCTGTCTTTATCTCTCTCTCTGTCACACACACACACACACACACACACACACACACACACACACACACACACACACAGAGTCTGCTCCTGAATGCCTGAATACCTGCCCACGGATGCATACACATGCATACACACCAAGAGAAGAAATTAAATTATTATTATTATTACTAATTCATATTTAAACGCTAACATTTACCTATCCCTTGATTAAGTCAAACAATTGGTAATAGATCAAGATTTTGGGAAGAAATTAAACTGCAAGACACTCATAGAATCCCAAGACTGTATTAGCAGTTTAAATTTTTCCAGCTTCTGAATCCCTTTCCCAGATTTGGGCACTTATGGAGACTTCCCTTCCTATCTGGTTCTTCTTCCCAGACTACAGGCAAACTACTCACCCGACTCCTTCCCTGTGCAGAACCTTCTGTTCAGTGTGCACTTTGTAACATCTGGAAATCCAGCACCATTATGATGGAGGCATCTCAACTGTGAGACAAAGGTCTGTGTCCGTGACGTCACCTCCCCTCTGAACTGCAGTTTTCACTTCTGCAAGGGGCAATGACAGCTCTAGCTTGGGGAGTCAAGAACTTTTCCAGAACTTGTTTTTTCTTTTTTTGATAGCTCCATTCCCAAAGCTGATGGTGAGTTTCCTGTCTGTGTCTCCAAAGAGACAGTGTTTGGAGTGTCTCTTATAAACTCACGATCTCTGAATAATGACAATGACACAGTATCCAGAGAATATCAAGGTCTCATGTGTTGGAGTCTTTCAGAGAGGTTTATGGGTCTCACTGGGCTTCAGGAAATCTGGATTCTTCTACAAAAAGTAAAGTTGATTATAAATTATCAATGTGCATTGTGCAAGACAGAGTCAATCAGGATTTCAAGGATACCCACTGAAGTGTCTTTAGGAAGAGAAACACAATGCTATAATCAGTCCAGAAATCTTTGTCATCTTTGTCATATTGCTCACAAATTAACTGAAATGATGATGTGGAAATATGTTAGGAAGATTTACAAATATCACCTGGCTATTTAATGAACTCAGCCCTATTCATTAAAGGATTTATATGCAATTATCCTTCACAAATGAAGTCAATGTATTCATAAAATATTCCACAAGTGGAGGTTGTCTTCTCAGTATAGGGAGCCTGCATGGGACTGACCTAGACCCTCTGCATGTTTGTGACAATTGTGTAGTCTGTCTGTGAGGCTCCTAGCAGTGTCCCTGTTGTGCTTAGCTGGCTTTTGGGAACCTGTTCATTATGTTTGATTACCTCAATTACAAGCCCAGCCTTGTGTGTGTATGTGTGTGTGTGTGTATGTCGGGGGTGGGGGGAGACTTGGTCCTGCCTCAACTTGATGTGCCATGCTTTGTTCAAGCCCATGGTAGGGGGAGATGGAGGAGATGGAGGAGGAGTGGATGAGGGGTTAGATGGGAGTGGAAAAACAAGAGGAGAGGAGAGAGGGGAAACTGTGGTTGGTATGTAAAATAAATGAAAAATTAATTAAAAATAGGTTTATTTATGAAAAAAGCATTGAGTGGAAACTGGAATAATTCACCATTAATTTTCTGAGAAAAATTCGGAACATCAATCTTTTGCAGTTAGGAAGAAACAGAAAACGTAGTGGCTTATCATTTGCTGTCTGGTCAGTTAAGTGTTCTTTGAGGATGTTAGGGCAGAAGGTACAAAGAAGACATCATTACTTCTGATCAACATGTAAGCCTTCAGTTCCCAGAACTCTCCGATTTTCAGTAATTCACTTCACAAGATACAGACCTAGAAAACTGTTCTGCTCATGATCAGTGTTTGTTAAAATGGAAAATTATTGGTTTGAATGAGCAATGTCCCCTACTGCCTCAGGAACTTGAGCACTTGGTGCCCAGCTGCTTATACCATTTGAGGAAGATTGGATGGTTTAACCTTTGGGGGGAGGTGCTTCACTTAAGAGGACTTTGATATTAAAATCCTTATGTACTTGCAATTGCCTCTTGGGGAAGATTGGATGGTTCAACCTTTTGGGGGGGTGCGGGGGATGTTTCACTTAAGAGGAATTTGATATTAAAATCCTTGTCCAGTTATAGTTGGCTCTCTCTGCTTCCTGTTGCTTTTGAAGATGTGATAACTCTGCTTCCCTGAGGAGCAGTCCAAGTGTCTATATATGCCTATGAACTTTTCCTTCTGTAAGTTTGTTTTAGTTAGGGTGTTGCCATAGCAACAGGAAAGTAACTAATATGTAAATTGTTACCAAACAATGCAACATTGCTGTGAAACCTCTGACTACATTGTTTTTTGGAGGAATGTGGAAGACCTTGGGACTTTGTTTTAGAAAAAAAACAACTGAATGCTGTAAGCAGATTGCAATGGTCCACTCAGAACCTGGAGAAATGTAGGGCTGAGAGCAAAGTGGCTCAAGATGGTTTTAGAAGGAATGAGGGACTTTTAACAGTAACCATAGAGAAAGTTGTATGTTTTGGGGAAGAAAATTGGAGGCATGTAGTGTTCTAAGTCCATTGATCCTAAATTCCTCAAACTAAATTTGGAGCTACAGGCTTTGGGGACATCACAGCTTAGCTTCTTTCTTGATTTGAAACAGTATTTCCTCACCATGCCCCATTCCTAACTGTTGGGATTGAAATGCATATTCTCTATCAGTCTGTTTTGGAAGCACTAATATGAGAGTTTGTTTGTTTGTTTTTGTTTTTGCTTTGCTACTATAGGGGATTGTAGTTAAGAAATTGCCTTGAGGAGCCGGGCGTTGGTGGCGCACGCCTTTAATTCTGTGAGTTCAAGGCCAGCCTAGAGCGAGATCCAGAACAGCCTCCAAACTAACAGAGAAACCCTGTCTTGAAAAACAACAACAACAACAAAAAGAAATTGCCTTGAGTCTCAAGAGAGAATTTTGAACTGTGTTGAGACTTCTAAGGGTGCACAGAATGTATTTTGTGTCATAGATGCCCACAGGCCTATCGAGAAAAGAGGAAGGTGTCTTGTTGTTTGACTGATAGATGCCTGAAGCAGCATGTGTTTGTTTGGTTCCTCATTGGTGTTGCTTTGTGGAGACTATGGAATACATGGATAGCGGATCATTGATGAGAGTTTGTAGCATCACTCCAGTTGGATTTCTCCCTCTTTGCTTCCTGTGTGGCCTCCTGTTTTGGTTTTCTGTTGTTATCCTTCTCTCCCCTTTATCTTCTAACTCTTTTATGCAAGCTCCCCCTGGAATCATTAGCCAGAATAAACAATACCTTCCATAAGTCGGATTGGTCATGGTATTTTACCACAGCAACAAAATGTAACTTCCTCATACTCTTGCTGACATGCTGCTGTTCTCCGTAAATCCCTCTATTGTTCTGTGTTCATTGCCATCACTTCCCCCTCAACTCATCTTAGCCCAGTTGCTTTTACTAATATGATTGGAATAAAAGTTTTCCCATTCCATCAGTGTTTGAATCCATGCTTCAAAACTGATGGCACCATTTAAGGAAGTCCTTGAAGTATTGGGAGCTTGGATCTGCTTGGAAGAAACAGGTTATTCCTAAGAAGGACTGTGTACTAAGAATGCTGTTTCTTAATCCCTGGCAGCTATAATGAGCTCTCCCAGTGTACCGGATCTTGACTTGGATGTCTGCTGTCTTTTCCAGTCTCAGCTGTGTGACTTTTTCTAGTTACTCATTCAAATGTGTGGCCTGCGCTGCAGTTGGAATCTCCACTTTATTGCACCCTACACAAACAACATATTCAGCCTGTCACACCTCTGAAGAACAGCAGGAGTAAGAAGACATCATTGGTGGTAAATGTTTATTGAGACTAACACTACAAAGCCAGACGAGTGAGGACAGCAAACAGAATTTAGCCTTTCATATTAATGAAAGAACAAAGTGAAGACCCAATTTTCATTTCCATAAAAATTATTACCTGACATATAGAGATTGTAATTACATCAGCCATTGCCAGGCATATGCATGGCTTCCAAACCTTCTTTGTAACTCAGTCATAAGCCTCACATAGGAACCAACTGTAAACTTTCAATGGGTACAGCCTTTTTGCCATCAAGAGTTCTGGCAGGAGTGACAAACTTGAGATACTACTTTTTGTTTCACAACTCATAGGGGACAACTATGCTGAGATCAGCACAGCCAAGAGATAGTTTATTTGTGTAAATGCACCAGCATTGCTGAGATTTTTTGGCTGCAAATTAGAACAGCAGTGATTAGATTTGAGGCTCGCTGAAGGGGAAGGTTGTGGTTTTACCATTGGCCTTGATGGCAGTGTCCTTTGAGGTTGGACATTAAGATTTAAGAAGCCCCTGTGAACTGCTTAAAGTATCTAGGATGACTCGATGACTGTCCCTTCTATACACCAAAGGACTGTTTGCTCTCTGTCTCCTCAAACCAAGGGGACTCAAAGCAGTCCTCTTAGAGCTGTCAGTTAAACAGTATCTGTAAATTAGCTTAAAGGAAATCTAAAAAATGATGGCCAATAACTTGAAGATCTCTCAACATAAAGATTTGTAACAATATTTAACAGTGCTCATCTCTTCATCAAAATAGCTAGAATTGGTTCACTGGAATTAGTTTCTACTTCTGTATACAATTTTTGCACATAGCCGGGCATTTGTGGCACATGCCTTTAATCTCAGCAGAGACAGGCAGATCTCTGTGAGTTCGAGGCCAGTCTGGTCTAGAGAGCTAGTTCCAGGACAGGCTCCAAAACAATACAGAGAAACCCTATCTCAATCCCCCCCCCCAAAAAAAAAACCAATTTCTGCACATAGTATGTCTGGTGACATTACCTCTGTTTTGGATGTGTTCCCTGCATTTACTGTCTTCACAGACATCAGTGCCCTCATGCTATCATTTTGGTCTCCTTGTCTGTTTGGATTTGAGACCACTGCTTAAGATTTATATGAAAAAGTCATCAATCTCATTACGACTTTTTGCTTATGCAGGGTCCAACACCCTGCTGGATTCACCTCTGTTTTGCACCTATAGGTACCACATGAGAACCCAAACACCTAATAGAGTTTAAATTAGACATATAAATGACTTCCCACAAATTTTATTTTTCAATTCAATTTATTGAGAATTTAATGCAATGTGTCTTCATCATATTCAACCTCTCTACCCTAAATTTTCTCGGCTCTACCCCCTCCTCCCTATCCCAAAAGTTCATGTTGTTTTTTTTTTTAAGCCAATAGATTTCAATTTGTGTTGCCCAACTACACTTGGTTGCATTTACTGGTTGCTGAATTTGCTCAGCCTAACTGCGGTCACATTGTTAAAGCAAACTGACTCTCTCCCCTTTCCTGACAGTTATCAAATGCTAATAATATTTCACGTCATGCTAAGACTTCATGTCTGTGTCATCCTTCTCCCTAGTGCTAGGATATTGTTTGACTTGGGCTTATGCATGCTTTCACATATAACTGTGAGTACTCATGAGCAACTACAAAATCCTTGAGTCATAGAATGTGAAGAAATCAAGCAGGCAGTGACTTGTAAGTTTTGTCTGTACTGGTTAGCTTTCATAGTGCTAGAAGGTGGTATGTGCTATACTGGATGGAAAAAAAGCATATCACCCAGCCATGAACCCTATGAACTACAAAATGACTGGCCTAACAAGACAGGCCCACTTATGCAACAGGGGTAGAAAAAATGGCAGAAGAAACCAACAAAATGATCATATGTTTAAAAGAACACTCAGTGAAGTAGAGTCCATAGCTAGCACAGTGAATGTGGCTAAGAACCCAGGACATTAGTCCATAGTCTATAAGGGAGAATATAATACTGTTAATCTGTGAACTGATAATACTATTAAAATGAACTCCCCTTAAATTATTATGCTGAAATTAAAGGACACCAGTGATTAAGTGATTAGATACTCTGCATCATTAAACAGATATAATTTACACTCTTATTGGAAAATCATGGTCTTTTTATATTCCTTATCCAGGAGAAACAGAATCTGGAAACAGTGGTATCACGGTTCATGAGAAAGGGGCCTAAAGTAGGAAAACACAGAAATAATGGCTGTGGTGTTCATTAGCCACCAACTAGGATTATGTGAAAGAGTAAGGCAGCCTTGTAAGACAGAAGAGAGTGAGTAAAAACCCAGAAATGTGCACACGAGGACTAGAATGTTCTGGGTGGCTCTGGACTCAGGGCAGTTTCTGGGGTAAGAATGAGAACTATGGATATGTTGAACACGCTTCTTGTGTCCATACAGTATGACAATCATGAAGCTGCTGGAACCGACCAGGATCACCGAAAACAAGGCTTCTGGTAACACCCAAAATACCATGTATAGTGATTGTCTTATAGCATCACGTCCTGGAGAGGAGGGGCAGAATTCAGAACTTCTTTTTTGTGTCATATTTTTGCTATTCCTCCTGGTGGATGGATATGTAGGGAAAATCATATTCATCACCATGTGTAGTATCCAGCAGAGGGAAATGGAGAAGCTCATGAACCATGGGTTTTTGGCCATGATATTCTTCCAACAGGAGTTCCTGGGGCTGATGGTGATGGCCTGGAAGACACTCAAGAGGCAGGTGGTGGTGATGGACATGCTTCTGCCGAGTCTGACCATATATAAAATAAATTTGCATCCAACATCATTAAAGAACTGATTCCACCCAAAGGCGCCTGTTATCTGCAGCGTTCCTTTGGAGAGAATAATCAAGGAGTTGGCGGTAAATATCTGTGTAAGAATGAAATCTATGGTCTTTAATGTGCCTTCATTGTAGTAAAGGAGTAGATAGTATAGGAGGAGAGAGACGTTTCCCAGAATTCCAAGTACACTTTGAAGTGAGAGCACTACTCCTATTGCCACGTTCCTGGACTCCATTCTGTCATTCAGCTCTTTTCCCTTAAATTATTACAATAGCGCACAAACGCGTCTCCAAGTCAAATCATTCACTGAACATTCCTAGGCTTGAATGTGTTTGTGAGAGAAACACTTGAGTTCAAGATGGAAAAGTTGCTGCTTGCAACATAGCAAGACTGTGCTTCAAAACAAATATTTTATTATCATTATTAGCTTTCAGTAGGCTGAGCATGGTAACTCATGCCTTTAATCCCAGAACTCCAGAGGAAGAAGCAAACAGGTATTTGTGGGATTCAGACCAGCCTGGCCTACAAAGCAAGTTCCAGGACAGCTAGGGTTGTTACCTGTCTCAAATAATAAAACCAAAACAAAAAAAATAAGCAAAAACTTTCTGTAGAAGTTTAGAAATTGGGACTGGAGAGATGCCTCAGCGGTTAAGAGCAGTGACTGACTGTTCTTTCAGAGAGCCTAAATTCAATTCCCAGTAGAGATCTGGTGCCCCCTTCTGGCGTGTAGGCATACATGCAAGCAGAACACTGTATACGTAATAAATAAATAAATCTTAAAAACAACTTTAGAAGTTGATAAATGCACACATTTATAGGTAGAATTCCAAGTAAATCATTAAAGAGTAAGTGCAGGTCACCCTGGGAGAGTCAATAGCTAATGGGTTCAAATGGAAGAATGCTCTTTACAAGTCATATTGGGAGAAAAGAGACTTAAAAATCATCATTTTCAACATGAAAGAAATCTCCTCGTGTGATAACGGAGCATTAAAAATGTACATCTTATACAATAACGTGAATATGGATTCTTAGTGAAAATGTTCACTGTTCATGGCAAAAGACTCTGACCATAAGGTTTAAGTTAAAAATCAGAACATGTTACACTGTGAACTATCTGTCATCAAACTTCACAAAAATCTCACCTATAATGATACCTGCAAGTTTGCTCATTTGGAGTTAGTGTGTGGGAGAGAGCCACAGCAAACATATTCCATGTGTTGGACTCTTACCTAATTACAATAGAATGAAAATGGCAAATTAATCCAGCAAAAGGTTGAGGAATAAACAGGGACTAATGTCTAGTGTTCTTATTAGATCTACTGTTTGGTGTCATCCTACAGTAGCCTAAATATAATGGAAAGATCAAAAGACACACCAATTATTAAGTATGAGGAAAAGGCGAACATTCTATAAACTTTTGCTAGTGTTCCCATTGCTGAAAACATTCAACAAGAATGGTATAAAGGTATCTGTAAAAAAAAAATCTCACTCTCGTTTGATGTCTTCAAAGCCAAAGCTCACAATATATATATAAGTAGTATTTTCTAATGAAAGACATTTGCATATGTGTTTTACAAGTGCCCTGCCACAGAGCAATGATCTCTACAGCAATGTAAATGACATATCCAAGAAGTCACAAAAATCAAATGCATGTTAAAAAAAACACCCAGAAAAATTGCATTGTTTAATAAGATATGTGGAGACGGAAATGTGGATGGCATAACTGCTGTGATCCCTAAGTATCTTTGAAGTCAGATTCATTATCATTGGGATGATTCAAAAGCAGTCAACTTCAGGGATTTTATCAAATGATTTTTGGAACATTAGGGATTAGCAACATAACAGGGACATTGATCTCTTTATCAAAATCTGCTTCTAGAAAGTTTCCTTAACTGAAATGTGTGTGCTTCCACCCCAGAATCCCTCCTCCAGACTTGAGCACTTGCCAGACCTCCCCTCCCTGTCTCTGCTTCCTAGACTCAGTATGAACAGCACACACATTCATACCTTACTCCTTTGCTCAGCCAGCCTTCAGTTCAGGGTATAGATCCAGGCATGACAGTCAGCACTGTGGGAGGGAGGGAGAGCAACCCAGAGATAAAAGGTGCATAACTCTGTACCTCACCTCCTTCAGAACTGTGGTCTTCATCTCACCTGCAGTGACAATGACACTTGGCTTTGGGAGCTGATGACTTTGAGACTTTTGGCTGTTGCTGATTTTTTTTGTTTGTTTCTTTTGAGTGTCTCAAATGGGACAATGTGTTTGGAGAGCCTCCTAGGATTTCATGATCACTGAAGGCTGACAGGGAGGGAAAGTGCTGAGAGCCGTTAGGGTTTGACATAAGGTAGTCTTACAAGGAAGTCCATGTGTCTCACTGGACTCCAGCCTTCTCCGGTGCTTCTACACAAATTAACTTTCTACAAATTAGTTTTCAGATCCCATAGCCGTTCCACTGCATGGCACCCAGGCAAGCAGAGTCAGTCCGGGATTCACAGATTGTTAATGAAGTACCAGTTGGTCTCCTTTTTCCCCCATTGTGTCTTTCTGGCTTCTTTATCAAATATCAGGTGCTCCTAGGTGTGTCTCTGGGTCTTCGGTTTGATCCCATTGATCAATGTGTTAGTTTTTATGCCAAGACAACATTCATTTTTAACAAGTTACTTTTAGTCTTTCTGTGAAGAAAGCCACAGTGTTATGCATCAAATGGAATATTGCACATCAATGTGATGAATTGCACAACATTACTTAGACAATCAAATATAAAATGGAAAAAAACAAATATTAAATATGAACAGAGTGACAAAAGACATTACTAAACCCCAGAAATTGCAGGTGACATGTTTAAGCCTGTCATGTAAGACATATAGTTATTGTGTCGGCTTTCCTTCAGCACCTTTGTCCCACACTCAGGAGGTTAGACCACCTCAGCACTCATCACAGCTTTAAGGCCCATACTTTTAGTCATCAGCTAATGCATGTTTTACTGCTACTTAGAAACATTTTTTTAATTGTAGAAGATTCATATCTTGGCTTATTTCCACACACAGATGATACATATTTTTCCATTAATTATTTATTGCATTTGAAGACAATATGTCATCATCTATGTGTTTGAAACAGGAAAGTTAGACAATGATTCACAGAAATAATATAAAGATGGAAAAGTGAGTGACCTAATTACTACTCTCAATGTCAGATTTTTTCATGGTTTACCATACCCCATACCCACGTTCAGAGAAGATTCCATCATATTGTATTATCCATACCAGGGTATAGTGCATGTTCAGAATACATTTCTCTTAAGTAGCTCATTTCAGAGTCCAGGAAGACTTCCTCTCCTTCCACTGAATTTTCACTGCATCTGTTCCCATCCCAGAATCCCTGTTGTAGGCATAAACAGCCACTAGACTTTGTTGGGTTTGCCTCCCAACCGGAATTCCGTGGAACTCACCTGACTCATTCTCTGTGAATATCCTTCAGCTCAAAGTATGGAGGAGATATCTCTCCAGCCAGATGCAGCACCAGGCTGAGATACAGGCCTGTGGTTATGACCTCTCCTCTTTCCAGAACCACCAGTTTGCAATTTTCATTTCATCTGAGGTGGCAGGGTCAGCTCTGGCTTCGGGAGTTAAGAATTTTTTTTGAAACATTTCCAGTCCCTAATGACCAGAACAAATTATGAGTTCATTCATTGTATCTCCAAAGTAACAGACTCAACATGATGTGTCTTATATGTATGAAGGTATTTAGGATATCAAAGTCTTATATTGGAATGTTTTGCACAGAGGTCTGAGTATCTCACTGCACTTCAGGCCAAGCTCTGTCAGTATGCCCCAAACCAAGTTAGTTATTGGTTTCCAGATCTTATTGCTGCCAAACTTTAGAGCTCACAGTAGAACAGGAATTCTAGACTAGCTACGTAAGTATGGGTGAGAGGAAAAACATGCTGCCAGCATCTGTACAAGTTACTAATCTCATTTGTATAATGAAAATTACATGAGAAAAAGTGATAAACAAATATGCTGGAAAGAATTAAAAATATCACCTCAGTCAAGGTAAGAATACAAAACAAGGCCCTATTCACACAAGACAGAGGTTTGCAACTACTCATCATTATTTAAAGCATTTGTCCTTTTCTTTTTTAAAAAATTATTTTATTTCATTTGCATTGGTGTTTTGTTTGCATGTATGTCTGTGTGAGGGTGTCATGTCCCCAGGAACTGAAGTTACAGACAGCTGGGAGCTGTCATATGAGGGCTGAGAATTGAACCCAGGTCCTCTGGAAGAGCAGTCAGTGCTCTCATCCGTTGAGCCATCCCTGCAGTCCCAACATGTCATTTTTATATATGCCACATGTGCTTGTACTCAAGAGACCAGAAAAGGGCATAGGATCATCTGAAATGGTGTTCATAGGCAGTTTAGAGTCTCACATGAGTGCTGAGAATTTAACTCTGGTCATTAGGAAGGGCATCAGGCACTGCAAACTACACCTCTATTTCTCCAAGACCCTTTTGTTTAAATACCACATAAGTCAGGGAGGCTTCTCTGTGTTAAAGTTTGAAAGTTATGTCAGAATAAGCTACATGTGTTGATTTGAATAAGAAATGTCACCTATAGGCTTGGACATTTGAAATGCAACTTTGTTGAAAGAAGTTTGTCACTCACTGAGGGTAAGTTTTGAGGGTTCATAGTCTTACTCCAGGTTATTTTTTTCATGATTCAGGAAGGGTTCTCTCAGTTTTCTGCTACTGCTGGATGCTGCCAGTTGCTGCCTTGCTTTCTCAACTATGGACTCTGTTTGCTATAGAACTGGATACACAAAATAATCAATACAACCAACCCATGATGATTGTATTTTATTAGAGAAAAAGAAAAGTAATGTATAAAGAAGTTAGTACCAAAATGGGGTTGTTGTGAAGAAACTGATCATGATTGTGGTGAGATTGGAAGACTGGTAATTTGGTTGAGCGTTATGCTTGGAACTTAATGGAACATTTCAGTTGTATTTCTGACCTCTCTGGGAGAGGTCAGAGCTGGACGTGTGCTTCTTAAACAATCCGGGGAGAGTGAACTGATATATTCACTCATTCCAAAGTATTGAGAGCCTTCAATGCCAGCGTGAGGTCACACGTCTCTGCACGTCACAATCTGAAACACGTAGCAGTGAACGATTCACAGCTATCTAATTTTACCTCTTCTATTGATTTTCAGATTCCTGTACTGTTTATGAAAGG